AAAAAAAAAAAGAAAAGTACTTATTGCTTATTGCTCTTCTCTGCACTAGACATTTCTAATTTCTAATTTGTTCTGTCTGTCGTAACGGGACTATGAGAGGTTTTGGTGCAAACGCATAACATATAGTAGGAACTGAAAAAGACCGTGGCAATGGATGAAAAACAATAGGGCTTCAGTTCATCAGCAACAAAAGCGTTGGGGAAATTGGTTGAATTTCGGAGCACGTCCTCCTCAGCAGAGAGGCCGGACTAAACCTTGGCCAACCCCCCCAAAAAACTTGCAGAACCTCATATACAACAGTTCACTTTCTACTCCAGGGTGTAGGAAACAGTGAGGAAAAAGGAGAAAAAATAATGGCAAACCCATGCCAACTTTCTCCATTTCTCTCCCGTTTTCATGGATGGAATATTTTAAACTATTTTAGAGTCACTGGAGCAAGAACACCGTGGATCTAAGGGACACTTTTAAATAGGGATGGAGAGGGGAAACACTTGAATTTCTGGAGACGCATAAGAGCTTTTTCTGCTCCTAGGCTGTGGGAATATTTGTGTGTCACCAGAGGCTCAACTCACCCCCTACATGTGGGGTAAAAACATTCCCTGATAAAGACGAAGATATGTAAGTACTGCAGTGTTTGTGTATGTGTGTGTGTGTGTGTGTGTGTGTGTGTGTGTGTGTGTGTGTGTGTGTGTGTCCTAAATTCCCTGCAAAATTTGGTTGCTGAAACCCCGATGGATGGAGATTTCCAGGGTGCCTGTGAGCCGGCGATGAGGCCGGCTCTGCCCGGGTAGCCGGGGCGGGTCGCTCGGCGTAGCTTTGGTTGCCTTCTGTCGCTCCCGGCAAGGGACATGTGATTAACAAGGGTTTGTGACTGGACACAGCGGCTTATGCCGGTGAGCTGAGGATGCCAAACCTGTTGGTCGGGGCTGCATTTAGTGCGGGAAATGTTAATTATCTAGCAGACTGCCAGCGGATGCTGAGCTATGGCTTCGCAGGGACTTCTTTTGCAGTGCCTGGTTGGCCCTCGGAAGGTGTGCAGGCACAAGAAGGAACACTCACAGAGTTGAAGAATAGCAGTTAGCAAACCACACGAACAAGCAAACAAAACCCCCACAAAGTGGAGCGAGGAGAGGGGGAGGGTGTGGGGAAAGGGGAGGAGAAATGCAGGGGAGAAAAAAAAAAAAAAAGGAAGGGAGAGGAAAGAAGATAAGTCGGAGTCATGTCTTGCGGCTGGTCAGGGTACAAAGGATTGCCCGCAGCCGTCCGCTGCCTTTCACGTAGTGGGTCACTCGGAGCAAGGGCCATCACTTCTCGGGTTCTCCAAAATCCATCCCTGCCAAAATGGCTCTGCTCAACACGAGAACGCACCTGGCAATTCCAGTGTCGGGGACAGTACAGTTCCAGTGGAGTTGCGGGAGGGCCAGTGAAGAGCGGCCCGGCCACTCACCCTGCCCCGGGCGTACCCCTCTGCATCCCTGTATCCTTTCCACCAAAACAAAGTTATCCTTCAACAACCGCGGCCCACTCGTGTGCGTTGAACGGGTGAAACTGCTTCATCGCAACATCTAAGAACAGCATTGCTGCCTGGGATATAACAACAACAACAACAGCAACAACAACCACCACCACCACCACCGTTATTATTATTATTATTATTATTATTATTATTATTATTATTATTATTATTATTATTATTATTATTATTATTATTATTATTATTATTATTATTATTNATTATTATTATTATTATTATTATTATTATTATTATTATTATTATTATTATTATTATTATTATTATTATTATTATTATTATTATTATTATTATTATATTTATTTATTTATTTATTTATTTATTTATTTAGCCGAGGCTGTTGTGATAGATATAATGCAACGAAAACCAGCAATTTACATTGTATTTATTTACATCCACGGCCCTTGATAAGTTTGCAGAGCTGTAAATAGAGACTATGCCTTCCTAGCAATTCTGGTTTCAGGACGTCATCTGTCAGGAACAAGTGGGAAATCTGGCAGGAAAAGGCTGGTATAATATATTTTGCGTGTTTGAGCTGAAGTCTAGGTGGAGCCTCCAACCTTTATTAAGTAAATGGCAGCTTATAGTACAAAAATTTCAGATCTGCCTCTACAGTTTCCATCCCAGATCTGCCTTTATAGTTTTTACCCCTTCTGTTCAGCAGCCCCAAATAATATCTTTAGCCTTTTATTTTTAAGTGCAATTCTCCAAAAATAATAATGCAGTTCAAAACACACATATATTATTAATAATCAATACAGTAAATATTGATTACTGTCTTTAACCCTGCAGATACAGAAGTATATCACTCATATTTGTTTTGTGTCGTCTTAAATCGTCTGCAGGAAATGTGGCTAGTTTTTTTCCACCTTTAATCTAGGGTCAAGCGTTTTAGTGATTTATCTAATAATCCCAAAAGTTAATATACTCAGCACCTTCTAATCACATAGACTTATATATTCATATATATTTCTGGAACAAGATATTTAAATTATGATCCTTTGCTTTTTAGGGGCCTATTTTTCAGATTTAAACAATTAAGACAGACCACAGGTAGTGACAGTTGCAACAAGAAATAGTAATTTTTGTTTGTTTGTTTGTTTAATAAAAGCCAGACGTTATTATTTACATTACCAACAGAATACATGTCCTTTAATGGTACAGGGTTTCCACATGTAATCACTGACTGTTTGAGGGTTTGATTTTTTTTTTCTGTGACTTTGAATTCTTGATACTCTGTCGTATCTTATTTCTGATTTTGAATTTGTAGTAGATACCCTTTTGCATACTGGATATTTAATGTAAGAGAAGTATAACCTTCAGCTACCTGTAAAATGAAATTGTGGTCATAAAAGAAATGATAAGCCAGTTTCATTTGAAGGCGAGGCACTAGAGTGACTTACCTGGATGGGAGAAAGGGGATGTTGCTCTGCAGGGAAAAATGGCTTGGACTGTACTGGCATGCAGCAATGTTTACCTCTACATGAATTTTTTTATAATTTAGTGCAAAAAGGGATTTTCTGCAACACTACACCCTTCTTATGTATGCCACAGCAGCTTAAGTGGGGTTCCTGTGTGTCTTCCCAAAGAAGATGGCATTGCTGGAATTAGGATGGGGGTCTGATTACAATAGTTAGAGAACCATTAGCATCCCTCTTTAAAGACAATAGAGATGGTTTGCTCTTAAGAAATCCATATATGATATTTCTTCTTTACATCACAGCCATCTGGAGACCTATAAAAAGATTAGAAAACAAGCATGGAGATCTAGAGGCCATTAGAAGGAATTTGCTAGGGAGCTAAAAGGAAAAAGTGTTTTGTATTCCATAACTTCTAATAGGCAGGTATTTCTACAGTGATTTTGAAATAAGTAAGTTTTATACAATTATGTCAACTGGAAGAGGATGGGCAGTGTTAACAGCTGCTTTTCACAACTGTGCTGTGCTTAAACTTTTGACATGCTAGGCAACAGTACAGTTTTAGAAAAGTGCTTTACAACTGTTGAATATATTTTTGTATTCAGAATAAGCAAAGAGTTAAACAACTCATGATGATGTTGAGGCCCTTGATGTCTGAGAGGTAGAAAATGTAATTGGTAATAAGGCTAATGAACAGCTGGGTCATAACCATCACATTGCCTCTTTTGACGTGCTTAGGCTTCAATGATTAACCAACAAAATACAACAGGTGTATTACAGTTACTTCCCAAATTAGTGAGTAAGTGAAGCTGTGAAAAGAAAGTTTGGTGTTTTAGAGATATACTTTGTTCTGAAAAAATTCCAGTTTACTATAATGTACCTTGCATTTAAATCTGGTGGTGTGACAGCTGGTGAAATGCATGCATTTAATATGTATGTATGCATCTGTGTTAATATGGATTATATATACACATATGTATATATGCACTTGTATGTAAGCATAGGTGCACACACACACACACACACACACACACACACATACATGAGGATCACTTGTCATTTCATGCCTCTTACTGAAAAAATTTAATGCATAAGTTCACAAACCTCTCCTGTGCAACACATGCTTGATCACCAGTAATGCTGTCCCTAGTTATTGCCACAAAAAGTATCTTTTGCCTATCTGCCAACTCAGAAAAATTCATATAAACTCATTAGAACTTTGTATAATAATCAAAGTGATCATGTGTCTCTGATTGCATCAGATATCTGATTCAGTTGACCCTGTTGTGCCTGAACAATCCAAGAGGTAATGAAGCAGCTCAGTAAGACACAATGCAGCATCATAAAAATTCTAACCATTTTGTGCCAGGTTCTAAATTTCCCTCAAAGAACGCTGCCACAAGTAGGTTTTATGTACCCCAGATAAAAAAACAAAACAAAACAAAACAGTGTTTTTTTTTCCTGGTGGCAAAAAACAGTCCATATCAGGATATATAATACCAGTTTAAAACAGAAGTGTTCATCTTCAAAGTCTTAGAATCTGAAAACAGAAGTAAATTGGTAATGTCTCTGCAGGATTCAGATTTAGCAGTTAGTAGATTACCAGCATCTGTGTGCTGCTTTTTGATGGCAGTATTAATTTCAGGCCATATCTTACAAATGGGATTGTTTCCCCATTTTCATGTTTACATCATTGCAATAAAAATGGGCTTGTTGATACGGTTGTTGTTTTATAGTGTAACCACATACACCTGCCTATATATTTTAACACAAACAATTAGACACATGCACCTAGACTGACACACGTACCTATGGCTCCGCTGTGCACACACGAGGGGACATAAGCTTTATGATGCAAGCAAGCTCTGTAGCCAGCATGAAGCATCAACAACTTCAGTTTAACCCCTTGAATTTAAAAAAAAATCTACATGAAAAATATCACTGTATGTAAATACAGGTTAATTTACAAACAAATGCACTTGAATGTTGTGTGGCCTATAGCCTGTGATTGTACTTGGACACAGGTTTTATTTTGTAGCTTAGAAGAGTAGCAGCATGAATTTTAACCTAGTATTCCTTTAGCAGTTCTGAGCAGGCTATAGTCTATGATGAATTTTTTTGATGGGTATCTTATACTGAACACACACACAAGAACTGTTGAAATGCATATATTAATTTCAACAATAAACATGGTAGATCACAGTGAGAAGGTTCATTTTATCACATATCATCGAGAGACCTTTAATATTTGCACTTGAGAAAATTCTATACGTATTATATTGTTAATAATTCAAAGTAGAATGTTCTTTTAGCAGGGGACTGGGGCAGGGTAGGAGGAGGAGCTGAGAAACTTAAATCCTAGAACTCTACATAATGCATTAAAACTTTGCACTGTCAGTTCCATGAGTAACACCAGCATGCAGTTCTTTTCTCTTAATACGAGGTCAATAAAAATAAACCATACATTGTTTAAAAATAAACCTTTTTATTAACGAGTTCCATCAGATGATGCATGGTCTTAGTAAATATTGCTGCAATGTTCACCTTTGTTGCTTTCTAACACAGACACAGAAACATACACAGGTTGGGAGGGAGTAGGGTGTGGGAGGAAGAGCAGAAAGAAGTTACAGAGGCTACAGAATACGCCGAGCCTGCTGCTCGCAGCTTCCCGCGCAGACAGGCAGAGGAGAACGCCTCGCACGATCGCTGTAATACCTGAATCACGATGGGCGCGAAGCACGACAGAGATGCGGAGAAAAAATAAATAAAAATGCACACCTCTTGTCTCCCCAAAGCAACCAACCAAAAAAAAAAAAAAAAAAAAAAAAATCCCTCATAGACACACAACGACAGGGCAAATTGTCAGTGTAATTACACATCGTCTCATTGCGTAGCACAGCCCCCCCTCCCAGCTTCCGAGCGCAAGGCCCCGCTCCCCGCCGCGGCATCCCTCCTCACCAGCGGGGGCTGCCCTAGAGAAACGCAGCAGCGCTCTCTGGGGTCAGACAGGCTGCTTCCCGTCCCCGGGGAGAGAGTCCTGTCTCCCGGCCTCTGGATGGTCGAGCGGTCTGTGCTGCAGAGGAGGAGGAAGGTAACGGGGGCGGGCGGATACCCCGCACCAGGGCGGCGCAGGCGGCGATGCTGGCTGGAGGCGAGACCGGACTCGGTCCCGGCGCCGGCCGCGGGTGGCTCATGCATATCAATAGCCGTGTGTACTCGAGGTTTCTTATGACATCATCATTACCTTGGTCTCCCGCGGTCCAGGACCTCTGACCTTGCCGGGCTGGCCCGCATTTTGGCACTGAAAGCCCTCCAATGATGGCTCTTTTCTTCTTCTTTCAGACCGGGTGCAGCAGCAGCCGACAAGACCGCCGTCTTCTCACCAGCTTTAGGAGCTCCAAGAGCGAATCTACCCCCTCTAAAATACACACGCAGGCAAGATATTTGCAATCAAGCTGCCACCATTTGGCAAAGAGCTGTATGCCGTGCACAATCTAAGGGGATCAGGAGCCTCATCCTCGAATCATCTTGTTACTTCCTGCTGAAATGGATTTTCCCCACCTTCTTTTTCCTCCTTACACTGCGCTGGAAATTGCCGAAGGCTTTTCATCTTTATAGACGCTAAGGAGTCTTTCGTGAAAACGAAGCGATTTACAATGCAAATAGGGGCCTGTAAAGGAATGGATGCTCCTCTCTCTTAACGCAGCTTACGCAACTTAATGGCTGGTTTTATTTTCTGGTATTAACAGACGAATTGTTGGCTACCCCTGCCGGAAATTACTGGCTGAAACAAAAAGTTAGGAATAAACTTTGAAGGCAAGGGATAGTTTTGTAGCTGCACATAGATACAGAAATATTTACATAAAAGGATGACATTTTAAAGCAGCACTAGTTCTCATGGAGGAAATAATACTTTTGCCAAAAAGAATCTGGATTGTAGCAAGGACGGAAAAAAAAAAAAAACAACAAACAAACACAAAAAACCTCTGAGGGAAGCGAGTTGTTATCTTTGGTTATCTAGCTGTATGAGTGTTTTGGTCTTCATAAAGCTAGATAACCGAAAGTAAAAACTCCTTCAAGATCATCGTACAGCGTGTGAAAATAAAAGACTGCTGCTAGAGACAGTAAAAATCGAAAGGGGTCAGGAATACTTATTGAATCTAACATTTTTACAGCTGAAGGTGAGACTGGAGGAAGTTAAATGGCATATTTATTTCAAAATATGAAGTTTTTGCATGGCACAGAATGGACATTCACCCTCTGCAGAGAGAACATGGCACTAATGGTAAACAGTGTATGTGCAACTATTACTATTGAAAAAACCCCCCCAAAAAANACAAAAAAAAAAAAAAAAAAAAAAAAAAAAAAAAAAACCCACAAAGGGAAAACCAGAATAGTCAACGTTAAACCGGACTAAGAGGATATATATTTTTTTCTATTAGAAACCTAATGCTCAGTTTCATTTTTCAAAGTGATTCATTGCAATGAAATGGCCTTAAAAATAAAAGTGGTAATTGGTGATGATGAAGATGGTGATGCTGATGATACAGACCTGACTACTGAACTGAGGGGGAAAAAGCCCAAATAAATAGAATAAAAAAAAAACAATAAACCAACCCAAAACCTGTGTGCATCTGAGACGAAACATTGAGGGTAGTTTCAAATCATGTGAAAGCAGTCTTTCAGAAAAAGTTTACACCGAAGTGCAGGCAAGCTTAATAATTTACATCTACTTAGAACTCGGCGGAGTGGCACAAAGATAGAGGAAAAAAAAAGTAATGGCCGATTTTTATTCAAAACGCGAGCATAGATGCTTCTCTGTTTCGAGAGGGTTTCCTTGAGGAAGCTACTGAAGCAGAAAGACATGACGGAGACGAGATCGCCTCCCCCCGTCAAAGTGTGAAAAAATCTTCTATGCCTTACTCTGCACCTAGCATTGGAAATGAAAGTGACATTTACTCTAAAACCCACGTGTGCGCCTCCTCTCTTTTTGTTTAAGGATGATCAGGTCTATCCTGGAAACAGCTCTGGTATCCCATACCGAAATAATTAGGATGTACAGACCTGACAAAACCACGGAGAAGAAGCGGGGCGGGGGCAGGGACGGAGGTGGAGAAGCGGAGGGTCTGTCTTGCTTAATTGATTCCGTTAAAAGACGTGCAGGAGATGTGAACGGCTGGGTGCTCCCATTCCCACGCTCGGGGCAAATGGCAGCGCCGTGCCCCGGCGGTCGGTGACAGACAGCCCGGCGGGGGCCGGGGCCGGGGCTGGGGGAGCCCACCGCCGGCACCCGGGAGAGCATTTCCCACCCACTGCCATCCCAGAAATCCTGGACGAAGGGACGGGGCTGCAGAACACGTCCCACGTCCGCTTCCTCTGCACCGCGACCCGCCGTGCCCTCCGCGGGAGAAGCGTGGAACTTGCGCCCGGGCGGAACTTGCACCCTTCTCCAGCGGAGGTCATAGGGGGACGCGGGTTTTGGTCCCGATGGAGGAAGGGAAGGTCAGGGTAGGCCTGTCGGGATGCAAACACTCCTGTGCTTTTAACAAATATTATCTTTATAATTGCGGCGGCTTAGGTACATCTCGCAGTGAAACTGAGGAGGATTAATTGCCCAGGTTAACATATTTTCTTTGGACTTGACCTAAAGGTTTGTCCAGGGTCACGCTGGAACGTGATACTGAGTCAGTAACCGAACGTTGTCCACGGCAGATTAAAATAAGATCAGCGATAAGGGAATGTGGGTCAGCAGGCTCCATCCGTCTGGAGCAAAACCTTTGCGTGCCACTTTTTATAACTATTTAATTTTATTTTGTATTTTCACTTTATTGTTGAACTGCTTATAAAAAACATAGGTTTGGGGTTTATAATGGGAATAATTACCTCCATGCCACACACTGCACTGTGAGAAGGATGGAACAAGGAGCCAGCCAGAGTGTTCTGGAAGCATCAGGAGTACTATGTAGCTAAACCAAAGAATTTTGCCTCCAAAGTTATCCCATCCTCTCTGCAGCAGTTAAAATAACCTTAGTTTCAACCGGAGGGTCTTCCCAGTGGCCGCCGGCACTGCCGGCTGGGACCCCGGCTAGGCCCTTTTGAGGTTAAACTTTCCTTTTGTCTGCGCTACACGTGCAAAGTTTTACTGCTGCAGCGCCCGGCGAGGGGAGCTGTGTTTATTTACATCGGAAACGTGTTTGAGCCACCCGGCTTTCACCGCAGAGTGCCCCCCTTTCATTTAACTGCTTGTCTAGGGTTGCTGTTTACCTAGAGCTATTGTCTACTACAATTAAACTTTACATGACAAAGAGCGCGGTCTTGTTTCTCAACGAGCTTCATTAAGGCGATAAACTGTTTTCTGGGAAAATCCCTTGTTTACTTAGGCATGAATGGGGTTAATTTACTTAAGCTGTTGCTTGCGTATTGGTGTAAATTTGTGAAAGAAAACATCAGAGAAAACAGCAGCATTATAATCGGCGTGTTTGCCATTGTCATCTTAAATTGTCTTGTACCCTAATAGTGTCATGTGATTATCAATCAATAAAATATGATTGGCTATTATTGCTATTATTACTATTACTGTTCTTACTCCTTCACTTTTTCAGGAGCAGAGACCCATTTCTCTGAACCTTTTATTCTACACAGTAAACTTCTGACTTAGGGAAAAAGAGTGTGATAACAGGCCCTCATTTTTATGCTTTAACAGGCTCACGCAGCAAGTAACTAGGAAATGTAATCCTTCCCTAGGATCATCTGTTACACCTGTTACGTGTTGTTCCCTCAAAGCTTCTGTGGAAAAAAAGTCACTCTATCAAACAAAGAAAAAGCTGTATGTTACAAGAAGTGAAACCAAACCCAAACCCAAAAAGTTGAACTATAAGCGGGCATTTCTCTCCGAGTCAGTTCCAGTACTGGAGGAGACGGGATCAAGTTTATTTAGCACACCAGTGCATTGTAAAACAGTTGAAAGGCAGTTGCAGGTTGTGTGAGTATGCATGTTAACTAGCAGGGATTGGGGCTTATTCCTTGTGAAAAGAGAACAGCAGATTTCCATGCAAGGCCAATGTTAAAAAGGCAGCTGAATTTAACACCATCTGGAAGAAAAGATCCCTTGACGACTTTCTCACACCGTCAGACAAAACTGGTGTCTCTTGTTCTGGGTCCTTGTCTCTGCAACCGCAAAATACTGAGTCATTATACTTTTGCTGAGAGAAAATTTGAGAACACAATATGGGTAACTGGTGAATGACCAAGTTCCATTATGCCTGCTTAAGTCGATTGAAATCTATGTCTAGAGCTATGAATGGCAGCATTGTTTTCCCCAACGAGGCTGTACTAAATGTCAGCACAGTGTAAAGAAAAACTTGAAGTCTGCAAATAACTTACCAGATCTCAATTATAATATTTTCCCACACTAGAACTAATATCATTGCTAGCGATGAAATACAACAAAAGAAGGCAGAGGGAAAAAACGAGTTCATTTACAAGTAATTTCATCGAGACAAACACTTTAATTTTCCTAAGATGGCTTCAGTTCATAGAGCTAGATAATAATTTCCTGAAAATTTCAAGCAACCAAACTACTTCTTATGAAATTAAAAAAATAAATTGTGCAAACAAACTTATATTCATCAACTATTTTAACCCTCCAGCTTAGGACTGCTAAAATATTAGCAGATGTACATTACAGTATACAAATCACTTTTTATGAGTCTAGAAGATTATGTCTTTTTTAATGTTCAGCAGAAATGACACAAGCAAAGCAATGAGAAATGTTTCTCTTCAGGTGCTGGAGAAAATCCACCAGGGCATCTCAGTGTTAACACAGGTACCAGAAAGATGGTTTTTAGTTCTCTTAAGTTTTAACTACTGGGTTTTTATCTTCACTTTATAATGGCTTTGGTTATAACTGCTGTTCAGGTCAGGCATCTGCTCAGGATTCATACACAGTGAAGACTATGAAACAGTTCAAAGGCATGGTGAAGAATTAGTTGTGTGTGCTTTGTTAGAATGTCTGTGTTTCAAATCTGAGTGAAGATTCTGTCTGCATTTCATGAAGCACAGTACAGTTCCAGACATAAAAACCTTGAAATGATAAGCAACTACCCTTGTGCTGAGTAACACATCCCTTCAGCAGCTCCACTTGCTCATTTCTCAGCAGGTCCATCGCTGCAGCCCTGGACACTGGGAATGCTGGCGCATGGTGCAGGCAGAGGACTGGCAGGGTAACATGGCAGGTATTGGTGCTAGATAAATGATTTTCTGACTTGCTCGTGAAACCAGGTCATGAGGCCATCTGGATCTGGAGCAGAAGCAGGACAACAGAGGCAGGTGATGGGGAGGTTTAAAGAGAAGCCAGTTCTTCACCAGTCCCCTGCCTGCTGTACAAAAGCTGGCAGCTGTTGGAGGGGGGAGCTCCTTTCACCTACCAAAGAAGTGTTGTTTGTATGAACGGATATATTCATGTGCACACCTCCACTTTCCTGCAGTTGCCATTAATATGCAATAGCATAGGGTAGATTAATTATTTTGGCTTCAATTAAAATTGGTGTTATGAAATTTTTTTTTTTTGTAGAGAAGCCAAGGACACACTACCTGTTAGCCAGATTCCTCTCTTCTCATGTGAATTTAAAATAGTTTTCTGACTTCTTTTGGCTAGAAGGAGGGGTATATGTGCATAGGTGTCCCACAGGAACACTATTAAAAAAGGCCATTAAAATTTTTAAAGCATACACCACTTCCAGAGATTACTCACCCTGGACTGAGCACATTTATTCCCCTTTACATTCTTCATTATTTTACTTTAGAAGAAAGAAAATGTCATACTTTGATGATTTGATTTTCTGTTAAACAGCAAGTGCATGAAGTAAATATTAGGGCATTTCTTATCACCCTTTCTGGGAGTGGGAAGGAGAAAGGAGCTCTTTGACTGTGCTCTTGCTTGTCAATAGTAACCTGTTTTATTCTTCCTGAGGCTCTCACTGGTGTATAATCATATAATTATAGACATACATTTGAGTATGTATACATATACATCCATAATTTATAGTGTGAAACTGTTGTGAACCAGTCAGGGTCAGAGTCTGACAGAGATGAATTTATGTGATCCACTTTGTGGAGATTAGGATTGATTCTGACATCAAGATGTACAGCCTGATTTTAGGGATGTATGCAGTAATGCAGTGGAAAGGGAATGTTCAGTCTGTGTCTTAACATCTGGTGCTCAAAAACCTATTTCCCCCTAATTCTGTACAACTAATACTAATCCATTCTTGCGGAGGTCGTGAAGGGATAGAAGAGGGGATGGGAATTCTCCTGGCAAACGGAGACGTTGTGT